AAGCCGAGAGCCGCTTGGAGCCGGGGCTGCTGCGAGTGGATGAGACCCTCCTCCCCCCCACCCGGCCTTTGGGAGCTGGCAGGGGGAGGAGAGACGTAGAGGAGACACACGAGTGTGTGTGTGTGCAAGGAGCGATCTGCCTTGTCAATCGGAGCACGGGCTGCTGCTGTCTAACATCACAACAAAGGCTGGCGGGTAACTGGGGTAAGTGACTGCTCCGAGTCCCTCCTGCTGCTTTCCAGCCCAGCCTGGGTGAGATGTGGCTCTGTCGATGGCATGTCTGGCAACAAGGAACCCCGCACACCCGCCCTCCCAACCCAAGAAAACCGCTCCACCGGCTGCTCCTCCAGCTAAGGAATGGCCCCCCAGAGCCCAGCCCCCGGCTGGAAAATCCTGCTCAGCTGCAGGATTTGGGGGGCAATGCTGTGACCGCCCTTCTGCCCCACGCTGGGAAGCCAGACACAAAGCCGGAGGACATGTAACCATTCCCCAGGCCAGCGAAAGCGGCTGGCCCTGTCAGGGCTGCAGTGGATAGCTAGCCCTGCTGGGTGGAATAAGGCCTGTCCCAGGGCAGGGGAGGGGGAAGGAAGGGGGATGCCTGCATGGATGGTTGCCTCTTTTTAGGGTAAGGTCGCCTCTTTCCTGCTATTGTGGGCCAAACTCCCGGCCAAGCCGTGGTCGTAATGAGGGCCCAGCAGATCCTCCCCCCGGGGCGGTTAATTAAAATGTTGCAAACACTGAGGTTGGGGGAGGAAAGGGGAAGGCTCGGAAAAATAGCGATAATTTTTTATCATAATCTCTGAAAGTTTTCATGTCCTTTTAATACTGATAGACCGTGCCAGGTCAGCTGCTCTGGAGAAGGGGAGTTTGCCTAGGCAGGATCTGCTCCACAGCCAGAACGTGTAGAAGCTTTTCCGTACTAATCCATCCGTGGGCCTCAACCTTATCCCAGAGAGCTCACCTGTAGGGCTCAGAGTGTCCTTGGCCTTTCTGCGGAGCCTGCCAACAAGAGGCCACTTACCGCTAAGGTCTGGTCTATGCACAGTTTTTGTACTGGGTTAACTATGTCAATGAGGGGAGCGATTGTTTTTAAATGCAATAGTTAAATCGGTACCGTCCCTAGCACAAGCAGTTATACAGGATAGAGGTGCCTTATCGTGGTAGAATTTATTCTCCTAAATGTACAGGAATAAGGTCTAAAAAATTCATTAAAGTTAATGTTTAAAATGAAATATACCCAAGTTAAGAGGGAAGGTACTGTACATCTGGGGTCAGGCTCGAGTTATGAGGGATTACAGGTATCGGTTACAAGGTTCACGAGATACATACATATCACATACCCAGCATAGACCCAGAGTGGGGTGCGGGAGTTTTTAAAGCGTCAGTGGATAAGTGGGTTCAGGTACGCCACCCATGGAATGTATTCAGAGTCCAAGTCAGGATCAGTGTAGCGCAGTGGCTCTCAAACTTTTGTCCTGGTGACCCCTTTCACACAGCAAGCCTCTCAGTGTGACCCCCCTTATAAATTAAAACATTTTAAAATATATTTAACACCATTATAAATGCTGGAGGCAAAGCGGGATTGGGGTGGAGGCTGACAGCTCGCGACCCCCCATGTAATAATCTCGCGACCCCCTGAGGAGTCCCGACCCCCAGTTTGAGAACCCCTGGCGTAGCGAATAAGTACGTGGGTGGGGTGCGTCCCTCGGTTCGTCAGGGAAGGAAGTAGGTTATTTCCCTGGTCAGCGGTCTCGGTTACTCGAGCTGGTACGGGCGGTTTCCTGTGATGTGTCCCGTGTAGATGTCTCTGGACCACCTGATGCTGTCGGACACCATGAGCTGTCTCATGAGGCCTTTAAACTGGTATAATTGTGTCCTCACTGGAGGGTTGGGCTGATTTAACTCCAGATTTCCAAGGGATACTGTTAAAGTGGTACAAAAACTGTGTTTACATACCTTTTTTTCATAGATTCTGGGACTGGAAGGGACCTCGAGAGGTCATCGAGTCCAGTTCCCTGCCCGCATGGCAGGACCAAATACTGTAGACTTTGTCTATGATTGGCAGAGGTGTTAATTGCCCACTTCATTTTGAATGGTTTCTTGCAACATGTTCCACCTTGTATTTAGCTGTGACATACTGAGCACCTTTCCCAGACCTGAAGAAGAGCTCTGTGGAGCTCCAAAGCTCGTCTCTTTTACCAACAGATGTTGGTCCAATAAAAGATATTATCTCACCCACCTTGTTTCTCCATTATACACCCTGTCATGGATAGATGTGACTGGGAAACTGCATATATGACACAGACCTTACCTCTACATCCTGTTAAGTATTAATAGCATCCCGCCCCGAGATCTGCCTATGCTGCTCCATAACTGCTCACCTGTTGGTTGGAGCTTAGCATGATTTAATACAGCAGGAAGATGAGATTAAAAACACTTAAAGTTGTTGCTGGAACCAGCTCCAAACATGGTTTAAGATACTGGTGCTTTTTCATAGATTATAAAGTCAGAATGGATCACTGTGATCATTTATCTGACCTCCTGCATAATACAGGCCATAGACCTTCCCCGAAATAATCCCTGTTTGAAGTAGAGCAGCGCTCTTCAAAAACCATCCAATCTTGATTTAAAAGTTTCCCATGATGGAGATTCCACCCCAAGCCTTGGTAAATTGTTCCAATGGCTGATTGCCCTTGCTGTTAAAAAATTACATCTTATTTCTAGTCTAAATTTGTCTAGCTTCAACTTCCAGCCACGGGATCTGGTTGGTATTGAAACACCTCTGAGATCTCGCTCTGTATTGGATCCTTTTAATTTTGCTTACAAATTTGCTAACCAATTTAATGCAACTGAGGAAGGAGAGAGGGGGAAAGAACAAACTGGCTTCTAAAAATCTTGCAGTGCTAAAGGGGCCTTATCAAAGTGGATGGGTCAAACTCTGGACCTATCTGCTGTGGCTGTAACTCACATCTGTTCACCAAAGGCGAAATTCAGCCCTGCGCAGACAGCCAGCGCAATGCCCCAGCCATAAATAAAACCCTGTTTTGAGAGCTTAAACGGGAACGGCCTGATTCATAGGCCTTGTGCCAACCCACTCTGCCCGGGCTGATTTCCCACCCCAAAGTCACACAGAGCTGGATCCGCAGCCCATTGAACACGCAAAGTGTTTTGGAAAAAATGCTGCACTATTATTTTTAAAAATTACTCACCAGGCCTGCACTCGTGATGAGCAATGTGACAATAATAGATCAGTGGACTGAAGTGAGCACGTGCAAGCTAAAACAGTGCAAAATCTGGTGCCTTTCAGGGTACGGCCAAGGTAAATATTTTCTCACGGGCATTTGAAAATAGGGTGGGCAGGAAACTGTAAGTACAGGGAATTATTGGAGGGGGATTTGTTATTGTAAATTAATGAATTTAGGCACACAGGTCAGAGCCTCAAAGGTATTTAGTTTCCTAACTTCCATTGATTTCAAATAGTTTCAGTGGAAGTTAGGGGCCTACATACCTTTCAGGGTCTGGGCCCTAGAGCATATGACTAGAGATGCCCTTTGTAGAATTTTTATGCATCAAAATAAATAAGCATCCTACAATAACAACCCGGTAAGAGAGGAAAACCCATGTGGAGGGGATGAAACAGGTTTTGCATGTCAAGCTTCCAAAGAATTATTGCAACAAAACCCCACAAAGCTGTTTAAAAATGGCCAGGAATACTTCTGATGATAGCGCTTTAAGAAACAATCGCATGATAGCAGAGCATGACGGCAGTAAAGGAATGGAGAGGAGGAGTCAAGCCCTTATTTCTAAGGAGGACCCTGCTTTGTAAACAGTCAGATTGCCAGGTACCAAGTGAGGGACAGACTGGCAAACATCAGCCTGTGTCTTTCCTGCAGAGGAAGTTCCTTACAAAGAAAAAAGCTGAACACAAGGGGAACAGCAAAGACAAGGACGTGGGGACTCCAGAGCAGAGCCATCTGCTCAGGGGGAATCCCTGAGGACTGGATAATCAATCAAAGGCAAGTAGCCAGGCAAGGACAACTGTGATCAGCTCATCAGCTGAATGAGTGTATCTCAGGACTTGATGAGGGCAGAAGCCATCAGGGTTTAGGGCCCGATCCACAGCCAAGGGCGAGTCTTTTCATTGGTTTCCATGAGCTTTGGATCACCTCGGTACTGGGGGAAAAGGGGATGGGCGCGTGCACCGGGGGCAGAAGTTAAGAAGATGCATGTGAGTCCTGTGGCATGTCTGGCTCTGCATCCAAAGGTTCCTAGGGCCCCACTGTGGTACCTGCACAAATGCTGAGTGAAAGGGCTTTGAATGGTGGCGGGTGCAGCGTCCTCTGATCAGTGAGATACACCCCAGGAGCTTCCAAAAGGGATTCTGGGAGAATCGTCAGCTCCTGCGTGCTCCAGCAACGACTCCCTCCCCTCCTATCCCTACTCCACTGTGCCTCCATCTTGCAGGGCAGATTTCCACCCTGTCAATTTGACCCTGTAAACGCAGGATCTGCAAGTCCTGTTTAGGTGTGAGCATTTGAACCCTGGGCCAAGCCCAGCTGATCTCTGATGGGTTTTGCCCCACCAAGGCAGGTTCACCCAGAGGAGTTTTTAACGCAGAAAGCTGGTGGTGGTATAGCTGCATCGAGGCTCTCCAGCTGAGAGCGGGGTCCCAATGTTTACGTACAGTGCCTAGCACATAGTGAGAGATAGTCCCTGCCTCAAAGAGCCTCCAGTCTACATAGACAAAGGCTGGGAAAGAGGAGTATTATTAATCTCCAGGCACAGAGATTAAGTGATTTACCCACGCCACAAAACCCTTGTCCGATTGGCACAGCTCGGGGTGGGGGGAAGCACAGGACTAGAATGACAGGGGGTGCTGTCAGTCAGGACTGAGGGTGCAGAGGCAGAGTTTTTATCTTGCTGTCCCATGCGATACTGTGTCTGGCTCCCGCAATAGGTTTCGAAATAAAGAACGAAGGCTTCCTGTTTTCCGCGGGAGTTCAGGGTGGGGTTTGCATGCACGCTCAGCGTTCGCCTTGCGCTCTTCCCATTGGAATCAACAGTTGACGGTGGCGGGCTCAGAGTTCGGCGAAGCCTGTGTTTTTAGTCACGGGGGGCGGAATTCCCCTCTGTATAAGGCCTTCGTGCCATTCAGGTTCTACCTCAGACTGTTGGGCTGTACCATGTAAGACAGGTTTCCAAGT